ATCGAGGAGCTCCTGCGTCTCGATGAGCCTTTGTCTGCTCACAGGACGTCGCGGCCAGGAGGAGAACACCGAGGCATTGGGAATCACTACGCTTCCGCCGCACCAATGTACCAATGCGAGCACTTGAAGTTGCCGTTGACGGTTCGCCCATCATAGTTCTCGCTCGGCAGCCTTCGATTGTCAATCGGCCTGAGACGCCCACGGTACCTCACAACTTCATGGTGCACTCCTGCTCCGTTGACGGATCCATGTGCTTCATAAATGCACGCTTCGTGCAATGCGTTGTCTCTTTAGCACACAAACACACACACACACACACATACACACATACAACTGGTTCGTGGGAGTTCGCAAGATCAAGTGAGACCACAGAAGCCTTCGATTTGACTTCGATCTATGCAGAACAACAGACCTTACACTGCATCACGAAGCATTTCGGAGTCGGGTTGGGGGTGGAGAGCCAGCGCGGGAGGAACCTGGACCTAGACCGGATTACTCTTCCCAGGCGACCCTCCCCGGCCTTCGTCGTCAGCATCGGAGAGGTGGCCTGGTGAGGTGCTGGGAGAGGTCATACACGAGTTACGGCGGTCCGGAGCCTTGTGAAAATGGCTGGTTGTAGTTGCAAAGGTTCATCGGGAGCCCCGAGCCTCCATAGCACGCACTGTACCAACCCAGGGTATAGTATCATGGAAGAAGAAACATAGCGGCAGCTGACAAACATCCCCAAACGGAAGTCGCAACACTGGTCTCTGAAAGGAGTCGGGAATTAGGGTTTCGCTCTTCATCTCAAACCACAACAGGCCAGCGTATGTTACTTAGCCGATTCAACAGACTCCAGGGGAACGCCAGGGGCTTATGGGTCCTTAGGCCTAGTAGTAGGACTAATGCAGGGATCATGGTGGTCCAGAGCCTCCTCCAGAAAGATTGATTCTAGCTGCAGACATTCATCGAGAGCCCCAGGCTTCGGTGACACCCTGTGTATCAACCCAAGGTATACTATCTCAGAAGAAGAAACCCGGCGGCATCTGGCAAACATTCCCAAGCGGCAGTCACAACACGGGTCTCTCAAAGGATGATTGGGGATTTAAGATCTATCCTATACCACAAACGGGTCCACCTCGCTGAGCTGCTGCGCGATCCGTGGCGCCGGGATTCCAGCAGCGAAAGGCAGTGCAGTCATTAGGGATTTGGTAAAAACACCGTTCCGAAGTGAAACACCCTACTTCACTAGGAAACCCGCCAGATGCCGCAAAGTATTTAACGCGCCAAGCAATCGAGGAGCTCCCGCGTCTCGACGATGGCCAATCCCTGTGGAGACTTGCAGACGGTGCCACCCCTTGTGCTAGCGGCGCTCCACAGGAACCGTCATCCGCGCCATCGCGGCTGTCATCATGCTGATACCACCAGAGCAGGTCCAAGCCTCCAAGCGGCCACATTCTGTGGCGAGGCAGCCAAGATGACTGCAGGGCAGAACGTCAAGAGCCAGCTTCTCGTTTGGCCAGCACGACGGACTCGCGGGTTGGACAAGCCGCGCATTTGGAGTAGTGCTGCCTAGGCGAACACAACGGACTCGCAGGTTGCTTGCACAGGCCGCAGGCACCGTCCCGCCAAGACAAGCCGCGCATTTGGAGTGGTGCTGGCTAAGCTCGTCTGAAGGGTTGCAAAGTGTGCCATCTCAATGGCGACTTCTCAAGAGGAAGAACGGATCATTCAAGAATCCAAACAGTAGCAGTGGGCAACGAAGCTAAACCGGGACACCGGGTTGAGCAGAACCCCGAAGACCTTTCGGCCACACAACGGAAATTCTGAACTTGAACCAACCAAGCCCAGCAGTCCGCAGTGGGAAACTCAGGAAATGAAGAGGTTTCTGTTAGACCGACCCTCCCAGCCTCGAGGAATCCAAAGCGACCGGGCAGTGCAGGCAACCTCAGGAGCAGGGTTGCCCCGCCCAAGCAGCCGCACTTTCGCAAGTCGCGGCGCCAGAAACAACAAACAAGCACACATACACACATACAACTGGTTCGTGGGAGTTCGCAAGATCAAGTGAGACCACAGAAGCCTTCGATTTGACTTCGATCTATGCAGAACAACAGACCTTACACTGCATCACGAAGCATTTCGGAGTCGGGTTGGGGGTGGAGAGCCAGCGCGGGAGGAACCTGGACCTAGACCGGATTACTCTTCCCAGGCGACCCTCCCCGGCCTTCGTCGTCAGCATCGGAGAGGTGGCCTGGTGAGGTGCTGGGAGAGGTCATACACGAGTTACGGCGGTTCGGAGCCTCGTGAAAACGGCTGATTGTAGTTGCAAAGGTTCATCGGGAGCCCCGAGCCTCCATAGCACGCATTATACCAACCCAGGGTATAGTATCATGGAAGAAGAAACATAGCGGCAGCCGACCAACATCCCCAAAGGGAAGTCGCAACACTGGTCTCTGAAAGGAGTAGGGAATTAGGGTTTCGCTCTTTATCTCAAACCACAACAGGCCAGCGTATGTTTCTTAGCCGACCCAACAGACTCCAGGGGAACGCCACGGGCTTAGGGGTCCTTATTTCGTGTCTACTCACACCGGATAATCCACGAGGGCCTAGTAGGACTAATGCAGGGATCACGGTGGTCCAGAGCCTCCTCTAGAAAGATTGATTCTAGCTGCAGACATTCATCGAGAGCCCCAGGCTTCGGTGACACCCTGTGTATCAACCCAAGGTATACTATCTCAGACGAAGAAATCCGGCGGCATCTGGCAAACATTCCCAAGCGGCAGTCACAACACAGGTCTCTCAAAGGATGATTAGGGATTTAAGATCTATCCTATACCACAAACGGGTCCACCTCGCTGAGCTGCTGCGCGACTCGTGGCACCGGGAGTCCAGCAGCGAAAGGCAGTGCAGCCATTCGGGATTTGGGAAGACACCGTTCCGAAGTGAAACACCCCACTTCACTAGGAAACCCGCCAGATGCCGCAAAGTATTTAATCCGCCAAGCAATCGAGGAGCTCCTGCGTCTCGACGGTGGCCAATCCCTGTGAAGGGTTGCATTCCCGATGGACGACGAAGGTGCCACCCCTTGTGGCGGCGGCGCTGGCTTCTGGCTTTCGCTCGCTGTCGTCGTGTTGCTGGTCTTCGTACCACCAGAGCCCCAGCCTGGCCACATTTTGTTGGGAGGCCGGGGACGTGGCACCTAGACTCCTCGCGAACGGGACCGAGACAGATGACCGCGGGGCACAAGCCGTCGAGGTGGTATATATACCACCAGAGTTCCATGAAGATCTTGGCGCCAGATGACTGCAGGGCACAGTGGACTCGCAGGTTGCTTGCACAGGCCGCAGGCACCGTCCCACCAAGACAAGCCGCGCATTTGGAGTAGTGCTAACTAAGCTCGTCTGAAGGGTTGCAAAGTGTGCCATCTCAATGGAACTTTCTCAAGAGGAAGAACGAATCATCCAAGGATCCAAACAGTAGCAGCAGGCAACGAACCTAAATCGGGACACCGGGTTGAGGAGAACCCCGAACACCTTCCAGCCCCACAACGGAAATTCTGAAATCAAACCAACCAAGCCCAGCAGTCCGCAGTCGGGATCTCAGGAAATGAACAGTGAACAGGTTTCTGTTAGACCGACCTTCCCAGCCTCGACGAATCCAAAGCGACCGGGCAGTGCAGGCAACCTGGGCAACAGGGTTGCCCCGCCCACGCAGTCGAACTTTCGCAAGACAGCGTCATTCTGCCACGAGCAGAAGAAACAACAAACAAGCGATTTTCTTCTCGTGGCGGCGTCGTTGTTGCTTGCTTGCTCTTTCGCAAGACAGCGTCGAAGCAAGCAAGCAACGGTGGAAGCTAGCCAGAGCAAAGAATTCACAGCCCGCACGGCTCACCGTGGAGTCAAGGGCCGCGCCACCCAGTCGCCCCAGCTCACGACTTGGTCGTTGTCAAGAACGGCAGCAAAACCAAGAGCGGAGGCTGCGATACCCCGCACATTCTTGAGCTGATCTCGCACGGCACTGCTGTCGCCACCGCGCTCTGGGAAGCCCCATGATACAACCGTGCCGTCGGCCTTAATGGCAGCGAAAGCATTGAAGTTGCTTGCGATTTGCTCCACATCTGTCAACTGATGTTGCACTTTGCTGCTGTTGCCACCATGATCAACATTTTCCCCTATGCCCTGTACTCTTATTTTGCTAGAACAGTTTTGTAGCTTTTGACCACTCGTGTAGTTTTCTACTTTGATCATGCGAAGCATGTACGATCGACGTAACATTCAGGCTCAGAGTACTTGCAAAAGTCCGAAGTTTGTTCATGGTAGCGGAGCTGGGCCGACCCAGCTTCGGGACACGTGGACTTCTTGTGGGCTTGAGTTCAGGGGCCCAGGCTGTTAAGCTGTGGCAGCGTTCCTCTGAGTGTGTTGCGTGATTTCGGTGAACCTAGGCTGTAGTGCCGTAGCTTCGCAATCCCGGCGCCGACCGGACGAGCCATAGCTGCCGCGAGCTTTGTTTGCTTGAACAAGAAATCACGACAACCTTAGCAGGAGTGGAATTGCTGCTGAGCTTCTCTTGTCTGTGTACGAGGAGCAGCTTTGGGCGAGACCTCAGCCCGAGGGTAGAAGCAGGGAGTCCTTTGTGCGCATTTTGCGTACCAGCTTTGCCGCGTGCGAAGCCAGAGCCCAATCATTTCACACTGTGCCTGAGCTTTACAAATTTGCAAGCAAGTGTTTGAGAGAGAAGGAGTGGAAGGAGAAGTTCTTTTGCGAGGGAGCTGCTATCTGTACTGCCAATTGCATACCGTTTTCAGTGCAAGAATCCTTTGTGCACGCCCAGACCGAGGCGCCGGACTTTGAAAGGTCCCTTGTCGCTAGTCTAGGTGGTTTTCCTCAGGTTTCTTCTTGTGGGAGTTCGGAAATCATTGATCTTGAGCAATCAACGCCTGATCAAGCAAGTTCTTCAGCTGCGTTTCGTGTTCCATTGCACCGCGAAGGTTCCGATTGCACCATTGATCTTGATTAGAAACAATGGCAGAGATATATGCTGATGCGGCTGCTGCCGCAGTGGGTGCCGATGATAGTGATGAGGAGCTTGGAGCTCCTGCTGGGGCATTTGTGCCTCCTGGGAACCCGTTTTCCCCAGCGTCTGCTGCAAGCAGAGCACCGCCGAACGAGGAGCGGTTGATGCAAGTGTTGGAAAACCTGACAACCCTTGTTTCCAACAACACTGGAGCGCCTAGGGAGCAGGCGATCCGAGGGCGCGACCTTGCAAAGGTCCTCAAGGCTCCTGAGCCTTTCCGTCCCAAGGACCGGGATGCAGAGCTTTCACTGTGGGCTAATTGGTCTTGGGAGTTGGAACAGTACCTGTCTTGTCTTGATCGAGCATTTGGCGTGGAGCTTCAGACAATCCGTCGTAGGCCTGCCAATCCGATTGCACTTGCATCCTTGACTGAAGCTGAAGCAGACAGGTCCCGACTTCTTTACGGTGTCTTAGCCGGGCTCTTGCATGACAAAGGCAAGCGAGTCTTGAAATCCTTGACAGATGCAAACGGGTTTGAGGCATATAGAATCCTCAGTCAAGATTTAATGCCGAGTTCGCGCAATCGCATTTTGGCGCTGTTGCAAGCAATACACTCGTGGCCCGCATTTGACAACCGGACCGGCCTTATGACCCAACTCACCCGCTTCGAGAGTGCGGTGAATGAATATGAAGGCTTGACTGGCACTAGCATGTCAGACGACAATCGTTTGGCCGCCGTTCTTCGATGTCTGTCCGGACAACTCAGGACCCAGGCCACCGTCTTGATCACAGAAAGCTCCACGTATCAGGATCTTCGGAATTTGATTGAGCGCTGGGACACTTCCCAGACAAAGTGGAGCACTTCGATTGCCAGCACGTTTGGCATTGCATCTTCGTCCTCAGGCGGTCCCGCGCCCATGGAGATTGATCGTGTCGCATGGAATAAGGGCAAGTCTAAGGGCAAAGGTGACAAAGGCAAAGGCAAGCCAAAAGGCAAAGGTCATGGTGGCAAGCCACAAGGCGGTAAAGGTGGTAAGAACCAAGGCAAGCCAAAAGGCAAAGGCAAAGGCGGCAACACCCCCAAAGGTCCGCCTCCTGCAACTGAGACTCGCACCTGCCGTTACTGTGAGCGCAAGGGTCACTTGGAGAAGGGTTGCTGGCTTAAGCAAAAGCATGAGAAAGGCCGTGTCAATCAAGTTTCCGAGGTGCAGCCGTCAGACAGTGCAAGCCAGGCTGCAGCATCGAGCACGGCAACCACAGCCGTTCGCCGTGTGCAGGTCTTTGATCTTGGTGACACGTCAAGCTGGTTTGCAGGCGGCCATGTGCGTGCCGTTATAGCCGAGCCGGGTTTGAGAGCCAAGGCAATCCAGTGCCCCACAGGTTGCATGCCGAGAGGGATTTCAGAATTTTCAGATTTTGATTTTCTTGATGCAATGCGTGCCAGCCACCTTGGCTTGGGATATCCAGTTTCAGATGTCTTGACAATTTCGGGAGTTGAGCGCTTCGAGTGTTCGGATGGCTTGAGCGATTGTCTTGATAACATTTTCAACGGGTTTGAGAGCCGAGGCAATCCAGTCCCCACAGGTCGTTTTGAATTTTACGATCAGTGCAGCGTGCCAGAGGGTCCCATTTTGCTTGAGCAAGATCAGTGCAGCGTGCCAGAGGGTCCCGGGTCTGAGTGTGACCACAGCTTCGACATGTCAGCTTGTGATGCCAATGCAGGGTCGTGGTGCATAGCTGCATCGACCTTTGACCTTCAGGACGAGTCAGACTGCAGCGGGATTCCTCAGTTTGTGTGCGCAGTGCATTCCATTGACATGTTGGTGCACGACTCAGAAGCTCATGAGATCATCCTTGACAGTGGAGCAGACATGAGTTGCCTGCCACTTTGCTATGCCACGCATGGCACCAGTCAGGGCGCCGGAGGCTTGGCATTGAAAGATGCACAGGGCGAGCCACTTGCTGTGAACGATTTGAGAGAAGTTGATTTCGTTTTGCAGAGTGAGGAAGGTGAGCCGATTGTGTGGCGAGAAGTTTGCGCGATTGCACCTGTCACTCAGCCTCTCTTGTGCAAGGGCAAGCTCATGCGTGCTGGGTGGTGGCCACAGCGCAGGCCCACCATGTGTCTTGAGCATGACAGTGGCATCCGAGTGCCGATGAGCTTCAAGGGCAATTCGCTATGCATCAAAGCTGCCATTTACCGTGTCGGTGAGCAGTCTGTGAATCCTGCACTCCATGTCAGGTTTGTTCAAGCAACGATTGATGCCAGCATGATTGATGCACCGTTTGGATGGCAGATGTCAGAGCAGGGTGATATGTTCTTCCGCGGCCGAGGGTCGCACTTCATCGATCCTTCCATCGTTGCCCCTGTTGGGTGGCCATGCAGAACCACGCTTGTGAAGCCGTGCCGAGACGGCTACGACCACTGGCTCCTGCTTGAACACTGTGTGAGCTGGGGCGAGCTTCAGGAGTTGTCTGCTGTGCTACCGCACGGGGAATGCGATGTTGTGTGTGTGCTCACGACTGATCGAACACCGCTTGAGGACATGATGATCGTGCCAAGCAGGTCAGTCAAGGATTACATCAGTTGGAGCGGGCCGCAGCCAGCAGATCCCAATGCAGGGGAGCTTGATGAATATGAGCCCAGTGATGATGGAATGGCAGAGGCTTTCGAGCCCGCCGAAGTGAGTGTGTCTCCCTTGCCTGATGTTGAAGTTGCAGATGCGCCGATGCCGGAGCGCAAGAGTGAGCGAGATGTTCTGGTGTATGATGGCGTCGAGTTGTCTTTGGCATCGACCTTGAATGTCATCAGAGCTTCGTGCAAGGCTGCTGGTCTCTCCCAGTCTGGGAGCAAGCAGCGCTGTCTTGACAGGTTGAAGTGTTATCTTGAGAAGCAGGACATTGCTCTGAAGAGTGAGGTTGCTCAAGCAGTCGAAGGCGACAGCACGCGTGTTGCAAAAGGTCAGGCAATGAACAAAGAGCCATCGAAGGCCGAGCGTGATTTGCACAATCTCACGCACTGGCCTTTCCAAGGCTGGTGTGATCACTGCTTGTCCATGCGCGGGCTTGAGGACCGGCACCAGTCGATCCCAGACAGTCCCGACCGGGACACTCCAATTGTAAGCTTCGACTTCTGTTACACTTCCGTGACCACAGATGATTCAGACCTTCAGCACCACAAGCTCACAATTTTAGTAGCGCACGATACAGCGACAGGTTCAGTTTTTGGACTTCCGGTTGCAAGCAAGGGTAAAGATGATTTGAAATTTGCAGCGATCGAACTGACCAGATTTGTGCAGTCGCTGGGGCATAACACGATTGCCCTCCAGACCGACAATGAGCCGAGCACTGTCGCGCTGCAAAACTTGATCATCGGTGTCCGAACAAGATTGAACTTCAAAACCGTTGTGCGCAATGCTGCTGTCGAGTCCCATGCCTCCAAAGGGTATGTGGAAAAGACGGTTGATCTGCTGCGAGGGCTTTCCAATGTTTTCCTTGACCAGGCCCGTGCCAAGTTCGGTTTAGGCCCTGATGACCTAGGACCCAGTCACCCCTTGATGGCATGGAGTTACGTGCATGCAGCTTTCATCCTTAACAGGTTTGCTGTCAGAGGAGGTGCCACCGCTTTTGAGCGAGCAACCGGGTTCAGGTATTCAGGCAAGCTTGGAATGTATGCCGAGCCCGTCTGGGGCTACCGAAAAGGGAAGCACAAAGGCGACCGCCGATGGCACAGAGCCCTCATGCTGACTAAGAGTCCAAGCAATGACATGTATGTGTTGTGCAACTCTGCAGGAGTGTGGCTCACCAAGTCAATCAGGCGAAATGACAAGCCGTGGGAGTCCGAGCAGAGTCTGGCGATTGATGCCAAAGGATTTCCTTGGGATTATCAGCTTGGTTTGCTTGGCACAAAGGTTGTTCCACAGGCTAGGCATCGCGTGCCCAAGCCAGCTGACAAGGGTGAGCCCGATGCTCCCCAAGGTGAGGTTCAGGTTGAGGCGCCAAGAATGCCAGACATGCCGGCCATGGCGGGGATCCCTCCTGCACCTGTGCCAGCTGAGTCAGTGCAACCGCCAAGCGTTGCGGCGGGGACCCCAGCGCCTTCTTCGAGAGCCACGCTTCTTCTTGACCGGTCTGATCGTGCTCCGACAAGTGTTGTTGAGCCTGCTGCAGCCCCAGCGCCGCTTGAGTCACCAATGGAAGTTGCTGCTTCTGATCCGCCGTCTCCTGAAGGCGGAACGCCGGTGATACCGATGACAGATGATGATCTTCTCATCGATGTTGCAAAGCGGGCGCAAGATGCTATCGATCCGCAGCCCAGTGGGCAGGCATCCAAGTACCAGCGCATCGCCAGGGTTGGCGCTGAGGAGCTTCCCATCAATGATGAGGTTCTTGAATCAGCCCCTGAGTGGGAGGATGCTGAAAGGTATCTTGAGTTGTCAGATGAGGCTGCAGCTGAATGGGATGTGACCAACACTGAGGACAGCCATGCCCTTGACAACGAAGAGTGTCTTTGGTATGATTCGATCCCTGATTTGTCCGAGCAACAGCAAGAGGAGCTTGATCGAATCGCTGATTCTTTCGAGGTGCAGCGCTTGCTTCGCAAAGGCGTCCTTGAGGAGATCGGGGATGAAGTGGACACGTCGGACCACAAGGAATTGTCTTCGAAGTTCGTGAGGACATGGCGTAAGAAACTGCACAAAGACAAGATGATGTACTTTAGACGGTCCAGGCTGGTAGCTCGCGAGTACCGGTGGCTGGAGCGGGACAGAGAGGATCTTTATGCACCAGCAACGTCAGCCATCACCACCAAGCTTTTGCCGTGGCTGTATTGCGAGCTCAGCCGGCGAGCCAGAGAGTCTCCTGATGAGACCGACCGCATAGGAGTGATCGCGCTTGATGTGCGTGACGCTTTTCTTAACGTCCCCAGGAGCGTCCCATGCTGGCCAAGATCCCTGGATTTGCAAGCCGAATGCGGTTTCTCAAGATGCTCCCTGGACAGCGGGACGGGACAGCCCGATGGCATCAATTCATCATGAACTACATCCGCGAGGAGCACAAGCTCACAAGCTGTGCTGAGTGCCCATCGGTGTATAAGATCGTTGATCCCAAGGGCCGTGTAAACCCCGGGTTGATACATGTAGATGACTTGTGCCTGGTTGGGTTTGTCCAGTGGCTTCTTAAAGAGCTAGTCCCAAGCTTTGAGAAAACCTTTGAAGTGTCCTACGAGGTAGCCTGCATGCCTGGAGACAGCTTCAAGTTTCTTAAAAGAGAGCACATAATTCTTGATGATGGGATCTTGATAAAGCCACTTGCGGACCATGCTGTGAATATGGCAAACCTTCTTGATGTGCCGTTGCATCGGAAGTTCCCTACGCCGTGCACCAAGGAGCTTCTCATGCCGGATGCAAGCAAGGAGCTGGACTCTGCTCGAGCAGCCAAGTACCGCAGCGCCGTTGGGATAGGCATGTATGTGTCACAGGATCGGAGTGACATTGCTTTCACGGTGAGGGTGTTAGCCCAGAACCTTAAAGCACCGACCGAGCGCGGCTGGCAGTTTGCGCAACGCCTTGCAGGGTATCTTGTTGGAACGGCCGGCTACGCAAGCAAGGTGCATGCCAAGGGCGATCGAGCAAGCATTCTTGAGCCACCTGATGCCGAGGAGTGTCTTGATGGCGTTCGGCTAGAGGTGTTCTGTGATGCAGACTGGAGCGGCAACAAGCAGACTCGCCGGTCGATGAGCAGCAGCTCGTTCTTTTTGAACAGCTGCTGCGTCTATACTTCCTGTAAGAGCCAACGCTGCGTAAGCCTCAGTAGTGCGGAAAGCGAATTTTACGCCCTGGTGTCCGCGGCGTGCGACGGCATCTACCTGAAAAGGGTTCTTGAATACCTGCTTGAACTACCGGTAGATCTTCTGATGAGGACTGATAACAGCTCCTGTCGCCAGATATCTTTGAAGCAGGGTGTATCAAAGATCAGGCATCTTGATGGAAGGTTTCTCTGGATACAGGAGAAGACAGCCGATCGCACACTCCGCGTGCAGCCGGTCGATGGGAGGAGGAACCCATCAGATCTGGGAACCAAGGTTCCGTGCTCAGGATCCCGCCTACGTGCTTTGTTGTGCATGCATGACTTTGTGTACTGTGCGGGTGACTGCATAGAGGAGGTAGGCCGTGCAGAGCATGATGCGTTGTTGGAGCAGTTGCAGCGTGAGCGTGAAACACAGAGGGTTCGCAGACTTGTGTGTAAGACGCTAAAGAGCAACGGGATGCAGAGCTTCAACGCTGCAATGATGGTGATGATGCTATCGCTTGTGCAAGGTGCCGAGAGCAGTGGTACCAGGCGTGAGGTCGGTGTGCAGACCGATGATGATGCACGGTGGGCGCAGTCGCTGGCCGTCTTGGTGATTTGCACATGTGCTATCCTTCTTGCCTTGAAATCTTTGAGCCTTGGGCGGCTATGGACCACAGAGGGCAATGAAGATGACATCACCTTGAACGTGAGCAGTGCCAGCACCTCCACCGAAGAAGTTTATGAGCAGGGAACCGACGGTTGGTGGAATTGGGTTCCATTGACTTTCACCTGCAGCCTTTCAGCGTTCTGCCTGGCAATCATGATGTGCCTGCGACGGGTGCGAGCCGCACTGCATGCCGCTGAGCAGGAGAACGAGCGCTTGAGCAGATTGATCGCTGAAATGAACTACGACCGTATCGCTTGGGGAGAATACCACGAGGCGAAAGATCGAACAAGAGAGAGAACGCTGCCAATGCCAGAGCCGAACCGTGCTATCTTCATAGATGGCGATGCCGCACGCGGTTCCAACGATGTGATCCAGCATGTGCCTGAGTTGCATGTTTATTGCACTTTGAGACGAGGCAAGTCGTACCACAAAAGTAGGAATTGTACTTGTCTGAACAATGCTGATGAGATCGTGAAGCTTGGAATCGCCACAGCCCGTGAGCGAGGTTACAAGCCGTGCGGAAGTTGCTTTGGTGGCAGCAAGAAACAAAAGTGATGATCCTTGGATTGCGTGTCGCAACACACTTGTGTCTTGAATGCTCATGATGCTGACGCATTGGCCATCTGTACATAGTCAGTGGCACTACCTTTGTGTGTGTGTCATTGACGACCAGCGACGATTGTACATAGCTTCAGAAAACCACCTGTGAATCATTCTTGACCTTGATGTGTGAAACATCCTTGGAGCGTGCAAGACTGTGCACGATACACCATTTTGGTGTCAATCTAGTTATGTCTGAACAACGATTGTGTTGACCGTGGAGCGGTCATGACTCCGAAAGAAAGTCTCGTGATGAGCTTTCAGCGGTAACTAGGCCGCTATAATCCCGGGCATCAATGTTAAGCATGATGCATGATCCGCCATGAATTGTTTGGTTCTTGACAGGAGCGCTTGAACTTGCAACGCCTACGCTTGGGTGAGTCAAGCTTGCATTTCGTCATAGGCTGTCCGAGCCTTTGATGGAGTGCGCGTAGTGTATAGACGACTTTAGATCGTAGCTACGCTGACTTGTTGAGCCGTGTACTGTAGTAAGAAGTGGTCGCTACTGTGATGTATCGTACGCTGTATGTTGATGCGAACATCTTCCAGTCTAAGTCACTGGGGATGTCCGGGCGGGGTGATCAACATTTTCCCCTATGCCCTGTACTCTTATTTTGCTAGAACAGTTTTGGTAGCTTTTGACCACTCGTGTAGTTTTCTCGGAGAGCATGCGAAGCATGTGTGATCGTCGTGACTTTCAGGCTCAGAGTACTTGCAAAAGTCCGAAGTTTGTTCAGGGCTCCTTTGAATCACATCGTAAATGCACCGAAAAACTGCGGGATAAGCGCTTGATGCATTTGATGGTCCAGTAGAAGCAGGTTTGTGATTGCCAGGAGGCGTTGCCAGCTCTGAAGAGGGATATGTTGGCGAATTCAGCTTCAAAGGTTAGAAAATTCGATAGTTATCAATGTCAATAGAGTGGCTCGGGTGATCCGTCTGACACGAATATGAAATCATTCAGGTAAAGTTGTGATTCTGTTGGCATCGTGGGCTAAGTTTCACCTCCAGGGGGCTTGCTGCCATGGTTGCGGATACTGGAGGAAAGCTTTCAAGAGCTAAGATTCGGTTGCCAGCAACTGCAACAGTTTGGGGCTTGGTCGTCGAATCGTCTGCTTATACAAAGCTGGTCGTGAGAGGATTGCACGAACCTTATCTATCCAAAGCTCGAGAATTCATTGGCGATGAAGAAAGCATGTTTGTGGCAAGGTTGGTTCCGCCCCTGTCAACATGTTTATTGCAGCACGGAACATTGAAGGGACGCAGGCACTTGTCCCGCCTGCCTTTACAGGACATCTATCAGTTCGGCGACATGTTGTCTGCTCTTCTGATGCAAACTGATGCTGGCGACAGGTATTCTGTAAGTCAGCTAGAGGAGGTCTTCGGAGAGTGTCCGGCACGCGATGGCCTCGGTGCTTTTCAAAACAGAAGTATGGTGTTCTATCGCTTAAATATCGCTAGGTCCGGATCTGCGATATCTGCGGTTCCAAGCCCACAGCAGCAACACCTGTCGGCACCAGCGGGCTCTGATGAGCATCAGCGCCACCGTACAACAGTGCAATGCCTTCTGCAGAAGACTAGGTCAGCCATAGATGCAAGTGACCCTGCAGCAGCAAGGCGTGCCTTGTTGCAAATCGAATCAGCTTTGGATGCAAGATGCGGAACAGTGACAAGGACACGCACTGATCCAACATCTGGGGAAAAGAAGCTGATCGGAGGGTACACTTATCTGCCGAAGTTTTTGTTGGATGCCGTTCTGATGTGTGATACACTGACAGAGCCATCTCTGTTGACGACTGCTATGCTGCACTCATGCCGGATGCTCATGCGCCCCGTCATGTTTCAACACTTCAAACAAGAGCTGATGCAAGCGCGTCTGCCGCAGGCGCCGTGCTTGTACGATGCCAGAATCACCTTCGACATGTGCAGCATGTTATGGGCGAGGGAGCACCTGTTGTCCTTGAAAGCAGATCGGGCAAAGCCGTGGGTTTTGCATCTTCGCTGCGATTCTAGCCCGCAGTTTGGACGGGACTATCTTGTGTTGCAGGCAGACTACATACAGTATGGTATTGATGCTGCTTCCACAGTAATTCAAAAGCGGCTGCTTCCTATCCAGTGCGTTGGTTCCCGAGCTGGAAGCGAAGCTCACAAGCTTGACAAGCTGTTGCACAGCTTGACGTTGGAGTCGGAGCAGGTGGGTGCGGTAGTGGGTCGAGTCGCAGAGTATCTACGTGTAATTACCTGCTTTGTGTGTTTGGGTCCAGGGTTGAGTCAATGGACAGGTGTCCTTTACCGCTGAGAGGGTGGCATCTCTGCTCACGGACTTCGGGGTGGAGTCGGCTGCGTGGTTTTTACCGAACATTGTCGATGAGGGAGAGAGGAGCAACGGTGCCAGTGCTGTTCATGACGCTGCCGCTGCCAGCGCTGTGCTGTTCAAGTATTGCATGCCACTTCCCGATTGTGACCACTCTCTACATCATGTGTCTTGGAATTTCGTGCCGTGTACTGGTATGTATGTAACACCAAACCCCTCTCCATCACTCTCCCGATACCGCAAGATCTCTCAAGATCTCCCAAGGATATGTTTATGACTGTGTATGTACGCGAGAGAGAGAGAGAGAGAGAGAGAGAGAGAGAGAGAGAGAGAGAGAGAGAGAGAGAGAGAGAGAGAGAGAGAGAGAGAGAGAGAGAGAGAGAGAGAGAGAGAGAGAGAGAGAGAGAGGAGAGAGAGGAGAGAGAGAGAGAGAGAGAGAGAGAGAGAGAGAGAGAGAGAGAGAGAGAGAGAGAGAGAGAGAGAAAGAGAGAGAGAAAGAGAGAGATATATAGATTAATGGAAAGGCGGCTCTTTGTTCGCAGAACCGCTTCAAGCAACAAACAAGCAACCTTCCTCCTGCGGCGACGATCGTTTTGCTCGATCGTTCGCAAGACGGCGTCCGAGCAAGCAAAGAAACGAGACAGAAACGGTCGACATCTCATTCGTCCAAGCGCGCTCATTCGCAAGACGGCGTCCGAGCAAGCAAGGAAACGCGACAGCAACGGTCGACATCTTCATTTGCTCAGCATCCGCGTGTACCACCATCGGCTGATTAAACGACGCAAGAACTTGCGCTCAGCTGCATTCTTGAAGTCCGCGGCCCGAGCACGAAGCACGATGTCGCGAACAGGCGCGTTTGTAAGCAGTCTCGATCCGTGTGGGTAAGGTGGCACTCTGCCTCTGTCGCTCCAAGTCGCAAGGCTCACTAACGTGACAAGCATGGATGGCCTCCCCTTCAGGGCTGTAAGCAGATTGCGAACAACACCCACTGGACCACCCCACCCGGCACTTTAGCCCATGTGCGTTGGCCCCAAGGCGGTCCAGGTACCATCGACTCAACACCTGACACCCGGCCAACGGTGTCCACGAACCGAGATGGGCAGTCGATCCGTGTGGGTAAGGTGGCACTCGACCTCTGTCGCTCCAAGTCGCAAGGCTCACTAACTAACGTGACAAGCATGGATGGCCTCCCCTCCTGGTTGGGAGCTGAAAGCAAGCCACAACCACTGGACCACCCCACCCGGCACTTTAGCCGATGTGCCCGGGTGTCATATGCCACTGCCCTGGCACGTTGGCCCCAAGGCGGTCCAGGTACCATCGACTCAACACCTGACACCCGGCCAACGGTGCCCACGAACCGAGAAGGGCAGTCGATCCGCGTGGGTAAGGGCAAGGTCTCAAGGCAAGTCAACATGTCACTACGGCCTCCCTTCTTTGTTCAATCACAACCAAAATTGTAAGCAGTCTGGTATAGCTGCTTCCCTGCCTCTCGCTGAGACACGCAGCCATCCTCGCCGAAAGACCTTTGCGCAACTGCACCTTGTCCAAGTGCGCTGCGTGCACACACATGAAATTCGAAGAGGTCCGATCGAAGACATCGAGGTAAAACTCCGGCATTCGCAACCGCCAAGTGCGCCGGAGCGTCGCGGCGACCGCAGAAGCCCAGCTCCGGGACACGGCGGTCATCGCCTGTCGTTGTCGCACTCCCACCTGCTCCAGCCTGATCATGACCACGTCCCCTCTGACCCTGGTAGTCACACTCGGAATGAACAGCCGCCACTGTTCCGCGCGGTGGAGAACCGTTTGCTGGCAGACGCCATCTCGACGACAATGAAAGTAGCCCTCGACATCGTTATGGCAGGTCACGACGTCGTGTCCGTTCCTCCAATGAACCTGCACACTCACGTGAACCCACATTGCATCGCACAGCAGCCTTTCCAGCAACGGCGCCGGCAAGCAAGAAGCCTTCGCCATCGCTGGTTCTGCCGCCATATCAACAGCTTTTCTTGAACCAGACGAGACGTCGTCACGTGTTTCCATGGCTAACGCCGGTGAACTTCTAGGGAGGCACCGAGCTTTCGCAAGACAGCGTCGACTCGGCAATGAATGAACTTCTAGGGAGGTACCGAGCTTTCGCAAGACAGCGTCGACTCGGCAATCAAAAGGGTATGAACAGCAATGGAGCCAAAGCTTCGTCGCAGAGCGTGACGGGTTTTCGCTCTTGATGTAACTAAATACGCAGAGACCTCTTTTCCGGGGCACCTGGCGCCATGGCAATGACGCGACTCGGCAAACGCCTGGGCAGCCAGACCAATGCCCAAACCACCGAAGAATCCAAATCCGAACATGAAGGCCCGACTCACGAATCGAGGGTCGGGTTAGTGTGTGGAAGCTTGACAGGCTTACCATCTACAAAAGAGCAGGATGTTGGGTGTATTTGATGGGGTGCAACCTACCCGGGACCTATGTTCTGCTCGTCGACTATATGGTCTATGAACATACATACAGACCGAGCAGGCGAACACCGATCATCATGGTTCCGAAACTTCGAGGGCAAGGGCAACTCGCATTCATCGGAGGGCTTTCGCATTAGCTCAAAGTACGAAAGGTATAGACCAGAGCATGATGCGGGGTTTATTCACTG